AAAACACTGTCAGCCCAAGCAAGAGGGTATAAATTAAACCACTGAATTATATGGCCAAGCTTAGGATGAAACAACTCACATGATCTGAATCTTAAAATACCTAATTGCTTTACAGGGTGCTTCCATTAGCTGATCAAATTAAACCTATTTCCCTTGTTCAAGCTATGAATGTAGGGCTCATTTCTGCAGGCTCTGCTTTAGGTGGGAAAGCCCTGCTCTGAGCCTAGCCATGCAATCAGCAGGCACGGTCAGAAGCAGAGCTGGATCTGCACAGCTTTCAGTATTTCATAGAACAGTTTGGGTTGGAAGGGAATAAAAGCTCATCCTATTCACTTTTCACTTTAAAGCATCACTTGCTGATGTTGTTCCCAAAGCCGGGCTCGGAAGGGACGCGGGGCTGGGTGAGACACTGGGACCAAGGGGCTGGTGCCCTTGTGCACAGAGATGCTCCTGGGTGCTCTTCGGGTGCCATGTGCCCTGACAGTGCCTCCGGGACTTGCTGATGGGAGGGTGTTTGTGGGGAGCCTGCGTGTCCCTTCATTTCCTTCAGCCACTTTATGATGACAGAGCGGAGGCGAGGACGGCGCTGGGGCTCGCAGCATGGCGCTGTCTCATCTGACCTTGCTGGTGCCACGCTGCCTTTTGTTTGTAAGCTCGGGCAAGAGGCAAAGCAAAAAGGGTTTGATAGGAGACAAAAGCAAACAATGGGCTCTCTCCAAAGATAGGATGAATGGGATGTAATTGAATGTTTTGGTGAAGACATTGACTTGACCCTCTAAGACACACAGAGAATCATTAGGGGAATTAACGCGCATTAAAATGCAGGGTTTTTATCAGAGGGCTTTTATTGTGCCTATAGTTTTGGTTTTAATTATTTAATGACTTTGTGCCTTCTAGTGATAAATCTATTTCTGCTTCCCTCTTCAAAAGGAAGGAGGATGTTGGTGTGACAGGGGGGTACATGCCCCGAGTGGCTGATGAGCACCAGCCTTTTGTGAGCAGACAGGCAGATGCCTTCAGAGAGCATCTCTTGCAGATAAAACACCAGTGTTGCTCTGACCGCTCTCTTCTGGGCCCTTCAGGTTTACTTTTCCAACCTACATATAGCAGAAGCTCTGTAGGAATTCTGTACTGTCAGGAGCTAGGTGGGATGTGGGGTTGGGAAGAGGAGTTCCAGAGCTGGGCTGCTTGGGGCGCAGCACTCCTGTTTGCAGCTCCTCCTGCACTGCTTTCAGGGCTCCTCAGTAACCTCATCAGTGTATTTGGCATCCCTCAGGTTGTGCTTTCCTCACCTCGCCAATGGACTTGAAACAAAAATAGCTTTTTTAATAACTTGAGCTGCTTGGTTTGGGCTTTGCTGAGATTTATGACATGTGTCTGTGTCATAGAATCATGGAATAGTTCGGGTTGGAAGGGACCTTCAGAGGTCATCCAGTCCAGCCCCCATCATCTCTTCCCCAAAATCATCTCCTTTGGCCTCTGACCTGGGAGCATCCACTGTGACACATGTGGTACCCAACTGTTGCTGCCAGCCCTGGATGCTGTGATTTGCTGGGACTGTCCTGGGCAATGGGCACAAAGCCGTGTAGTTACAGAAAGCAGAACATGGAGAGAACAGGATTTAGATGGGGTTTGCTGCTGACAGCGGGGAAGCCTTCTCCAGTGCATCCTCCATAAGACAGGCTTTCTCCATCCAAAGCTCCTCTGCTTCTTGTGCCCACCGATCTCTCCCTTAGAAACGCAACATTTCCTTGTGCATGACCAGTTTGGGGCTCACCCTGGTGCCCAGGATATGTTCCTGGCCTCCAGACTCGCCTGTTTGCCTGTGTCCATGTGCGTGTGAGCACCGCTGAGCATCACCGTGTCATCTGTTCCTCACAGTGCTGCTCCAGTTTGAGGTGGCAGACGGGAGATTTCTTGTTCTCCCCGAGCCTTGGTGCTCATACAGTGACAGAAGCTGGCACACGGGTGTCAAACTGCAACCAGACATCTCTGTTGTTATCCCTGCGTGGCATAGGGCTGCTCTCCTCACACCAGCTTGTGATGCTGAGTGTGCTGGTTCCTCCTCGTGGTGAAGGATGTGGCTGGTGCTCCAGGTGCTGGCATTGCAGACAGGGCCAGCAAGTGATGGGAGGGTTTCCTTGGCTTTTTGTGTCTCTTTTCCCCTATTTGTGTGCCAGTCCTTGTAATTGTGAGGACTCGGGGCAGGGAAGGCAGCGGCAGGATTCGCTGTCTCTCTGCTGTGTGTGTTAATTTATAGCGCTGCTGTGAGCTAGATGTTCCTTGTTATCCAAGGTATTTCCTCTGGAGGAGGGAAATCAGGCTGTAATATATCATTAAGCAGAAAGCCTAGGGGAGCTCCTATCCTAGTTGATGTGGATCCTTCTTTTAGCCTGTTAGAAGAATTGAATTATACGTTTTGAGTTGTCAGAAGACCCAGTGTGGAGTCTGGCTGGCTCTGTGCTATGGGAGCAGGGCTGGGAGCTGGCAGGCATCACAGGAACACTCATGTGTTTGATGGGTTGGTGTGTGCCCACAGCATCCATCTGCACCTTATCCTTTAGTCTGCCCAGATCTGCTGGTGAGGCCCAGAACAGCAGCATGGAAACAAAGGTTCTGTCTCCAGCTACTGCAGCTCCTCCCTCTGGGGTAGTTTTGGGATGGATGGATGAATGGATGGATGGATGGATGGATGGATGGATGGATGGATGGATGGCCATCTCGAGCATGCAGGGCATAGGCCAGCCGAAGGAATAGAGGGAACAAGCCTTGGGTAAGACTGACGTTTGTTCACCTGAAGTACTTTAGGTTTCTGACCTATAGCAAGATGCTTATTCAGCCATGAAAGTTAGAAGTTGCTTTATTCCATTCTGGCAGGTTGGTTTTTCATATGAAGAGGCAATATCCTGTGCTAATCTGACCCCCCTAAACCTGCCCATTTCTGCAGGGTTTTGAGGGCGAATCAGCCAGATCTGCCTCTGCATGAGGGGGTTTGTTTCTGTAAGTGCTTGTGTGCCCAGCCATGATGGTCCTGGGTGTGTGGGTGCTGGAGAGGACGTGGGGAGCTCCTCGGCACCCACTGGGGCTCATCTCTTGTTATCTCCGGAGCTGTAAGGTCTGAGATGATGCAGATTTGTAACAGACATAACGTGGGATGGGAGTAAAATTCTGCAGACCATAGCACATTTGGTGGAAATACTGTACTGGCTCCAAGGGAAAAACCCAGGGATCTTGGTTTATATTTCCTGAAGGATTTTAGTTCCAGAGTGTTATATATATATATATATATATGCATAAAATCAGCGATTGGCTCCTACAACTCGCACCCTGCATCAAGCTAGGCTCATGGAGCATCGGTGGCTTGTGTAGGGAGCAATGGAAGTCTGGGGCCAGACTTTCTTAGGCATGTAGTGTCCAACCTTTAGCACATGCATCTGGTTGAACTGTGGCTCCTGTTGAAGCCCATGCTTGGTGGGTTCTCTGCAAGGTTGTGAGTGCAGAGCCATGCTGGTGGCCCTGTGGAGGGCTGCACCAGGGCCTTTCGGTAGTCAATTTGACACTGGAATTAGGCACAGATTATAAAGAGGTGTGTTTGGAGCTCGGTGTCAGTGCTGCTCCTCCTGGCTCCCGCAGAAGCGGTGCCATTCCCATCATCTGCTGCTGCAGTCATCACTTAGAGCTGCGGAGTCGGGCTTGGGAAAGAGGGGATGCGGCGGTGGATTGTGGGAGAATTTATTTGCAGTGTAAACATGTTGGTCAGGAGTCATTAATATGACATTCACACAACCCTAATAAAGTACATAACACAGAGATCTGGCACCGCTGCAATACCCAGAGGACATTAAGTATGAGTCTTAAAACCAAGAGTATTGGAAACAAGATATTTTTACGTCTCGTTTGGGAGTAATATAATTGCATTTTGTGGCTCTAGCAGATGCTTGGGCCAGCTGGTTGGAGAGCATTGTGGATTTTTTTAGCTTTGGTACTATACAGCTACAGCCCTTATATAGATCTGTCTTCCTTTTAAACAGAAAAGGCAAAAAAATTCATCTCCTGGTCAAAAGACTCATTTCTTGTGTGATACCTTCATGGTGGTGCAGCCTGTGTGCAGTAGCACTGGAGATTAAACCACACATGGGTTTGGGGTCTAATGTGAGGCCGCTTCACTGACCTCTGCATCGCTCTGGCTGTCACAGGTCTCTGAGAGGGAGACTGGACCCAACTGGGAGGCAGTTTTCGGCAGAGAACTATCAAATCCCTACTTATTCCTCAGTGTCTCTTTGGGAGAGGGGGGAAGCTTGTTTCCAGCAGCCTGTGGCCTTCAGCCCTGGGGGTTCTTTGCCATCTCCAGGTGTTGGGATGTTGCTGATTATTATAGCAGTGGCATGGTCGTGGTTGCTTTCTAGTCCCTGGTCTCGTTGCTTGCCCCACAGCTGCTCTGGGTTTGACCCATGGAAGTGAGGAGCAGCCACCCCCTATTCCTCAGGCCTGTGTACAAGCACCAGGGTGAATTATCTCACCAGCACCAATAATTTCCTGCAAACATATCGGTCCTGATCTGGAAGTAATCGCCCGTATCATTCCTGCAAGTGGGAGCGATGACTTACGTTGATGTCACCCGCTGCCTTTTTATGGCAACCATTAATAATTCAGTAATTCTCTGCAGTGATGCTGTTCTATTTATAAATATTTAATCCTGCTTCCTGGTGGCACTGCCCTCCCCTTTGCCTCCCAACATGCCACCGGGTGCTCAGTGGTCACCACAGTTACCAGCAGTGTCTGTGCTGGAAGATGCTGATGCTTTTCCTTGCCTTCATTACATTACTTCAGTCTGGCTTTGGTGTGAACAGGAGCCCTGGCCAAGTGTGCCATATCCAAACCTGACTTCAGCTGCTGACCTACAGCTCCTTGCTGTGTTATAGAAGTTCTCTGTTATAAAACTTCCCCCTTCCCAACGTGGCCATGCAAGTGACTCTTTTCTTTCTGTGTTTCTCTTTCAGGAAATTGCAGCTTATTTAATAACATTTGAAAAGCATGAAGAATGGCTAACAACCTCCCCTAAAACAAGGTAACGTTGCTCATGCTTCAGCCCATGGACTCATTCTTGCTGGTGACTTGACTTGCTCATTGATGCATTGGCCACCTAGTGTAAACTTGTGCTCCGTGGCTGGTGATGCCAGACTCTCATTAATTGCCTTACTGAGCGTTTCATTGACTGAAATCGGGTTGATTAAAAATGGAAGAGCTGCAATCTTGACAGGTTAAAGTTGTCACCTGGTTGCTCAGGGTTTAATTGTACCCCTCAGCTGCGCAGGCTTGGAGGCCTCTGAGCGAGGTTGCGGGCTGCTTATCCTGAGAGCTCCCTGCAGCCTCCAACTCAATGTAAATGAAGAGGCACAGAGCCCTCCCTGTGCTCTGCTGCTTAACGTGCAGTCGTGGGGATTGTTTGCCTTTTGGTGTTTCTCTTGCTGGGGTTAAGTGTTTGATGGCGAGGAGATCCCAAAAAGCCGCATTAACAGACATGTTTGCAGTTTATTATTCAGTAAATGTCATGTCTTCTTCGCGCTGCCATAAATGTTTAACTCCTGTGCTCCCCTGGGACCCCAGACGTGAAGTTTTGCCTGCAGATGTTTTCCTGCTGTTCCGGCTGTGCTCGGGCTCACAGCGTTCCCATACGTTACAAAAACCAGCTCTGCCTTTCCAATATTGAGGGGGTTTTCCTTTTCTTCTTTTTCCCAACCTGCCCCTTGCCTGTTGAGCAGGGTGAGGACACTGGGTGAGCCTGCTTAGCACCAAGGTGGGAGAAAAGCCTCTAGCATCCTGCATCCCATCGCCATCCGCTGCAGGGATGCAGTGCCAGAGGCATCCCAACAGCCTGTTGCTGGGCTTGGCATCACCTCCCTCTGTAACCATCAGGGGCAGAAATTCCAGTGAGACACAAGGAATGATGTTGCACCTCATGGATAGTGCAGGTTAATTCCCTGAGTGTTTCCTGACTCCCAGAGAGGAGAGGATGGAGGTGGAGGAGGAGGGGGTGGGTGAAGGGCCCTCGGGGTCTAGCTTCCCCACTGATGGAAAGCAGGGAGTCTCCCTTTGGTGAGTGCATACGTGCCTTGTTCCATTGCCCCTCTTGGTGCAGGGCAGCAGGTAGTTTGATAAAGATTAGAGAAGGCTTTTTCTGACCTGGTAATCCCGAACTTCAGATTTAATGCAATGCAATTTCTTGCTGACCCTTTGCCATAGAAGCCTGTTAAGAGGTCAGAGAAGAGATGAACCAGTCTGGATATATATGGTGTCATTAAACATGAGATTATACATGTGTTTGTAGCAGCACCTTATGGTTTCAAGAGTTTGGTTTGCTAAAGGCAAGGCATGAAAGTAATTTTCTGATGAATATTACAGTACCTTCCCCTGTGTGTTCACACTTGAGGGAAGGAATGTCCCAGGAGAAGGAGGGTTGTAACAGCTCTTCAAGGACCTTCTTAAGTCGTGGACTTGGGTCTTTTCTTCCTGTTTTTAAATATAAAAGTCAATAGGGAGAGTTAAATGCTGAGTTCATACAATGAGGTGGTGCAGAATTGATGCCCTCGCTTCAGCGCTGAGCTGGAGCACTCCCTGGCCTTTGTTTGCTGCTGCTAATTCAGCTCAGAAATGAATAGAGGTGAATTGCACCCTGACACTTGTGGAGTTCCTTAGTGAGGTGATGGAGCACAGTGGGGTTTGAGGACCACTGTGGTGCAGTCTGAGTGGTTGGGGCTGTTGGCCAGTAATGGGTGTTGGCAATGGCCCATAGAGAAGTTCCCATGTTCATGACACAGGACAGGGCAGGGGTTGCTTTGGCCATGGATGGCGGAGGAACCCTCCTATGATGCCATTGTGGTGGCAGTAGGGGGGCTATGAGGAAGCTTTTGGCAGTCTCCAGAATGGCTTTTTTTGGGAAGCTTCTTGTGGAATGACTCTCATTGGTAAACTGTGCTGATACAAATGTACTGGGTGTTATTTACAACAGTCTTTGAGTGCTCCAGTTTACCAGCATGAATTACCAAGCGTCCTTCGCAAGACGCCGACACTGATGCTTCCTTGGAATGGTGTTTGGTTGCTGGCTGCAGCTGTGGAGTGGGACACTGATGCTTCCTTGGAATGGTGTTTGGTTGCTGGCTGCAGCTGTGGAGTGGGCTGGGAGGCGTTCTGCTGGTGCAGGCTCTGACATTTCCAACTTAAATGCAAACTGTGACACCAAACCTAAATTGCTTGACATTTGTGTATCAAGTAGAACTTAACTGCTGTTTCTATTGGAATTTCAATGACAAAGCTGGCTTTGAGTCCCCTAACACTGTGCTAGGTGAAGATGCTTTGCTGCCTGTTTCCAAGTGCCTTCTGTAATTCTCATTTCAGAGTATTTTAATACTAAACATGAGTGACCTGGTGTAGCTTTACCTGTTGTGTTTCAGAAGAGGGGCTCAGCAACAGAAAGCATGGCCATGCCCAGAAGCTGCAAGGTTAGTTTTCCAGCTGGGAATGCAGTTCGGATGTGTTTATGCTATTGCTGCGTTGCAGTTACATTTCTGCTGCATGTACAGCAAAAGCAGAGGTGTTTGGGCCAGCAGCGGGTACCAAGCTCTCGTTTCCTTCCTCAAAGCCCTGAAGATAGATGTTTCCTGGGAAGTGCTTTGGGATGCTGATGCTGTGATAAGCCATCACTTGTACTGATACACAGCGCGGCTGGGGGAGCTCCCAGGTGAGGGATTTTCAGCCCGGAAAGAGCCCCAGTGCTGTTTGTAGGCAGTGAGACTTGGCAGTGATTAATATTTCTGCAGCTCGGAGTTGGTGGCAGTCTGCCCTTTCACATCAGTAGCATTTACATACCCCAGACATGTCCTGACAGTGCAATTCGGTTTCACTTCTCCTACCCACTGCGTTACTTCTAGTGTTTTCATTCCCCTTCTCCTGACTTTGGGAAAACAAGGGTTGCTTTTGGTGTGATGGGCAGCGACAGTAGGTGCAGGAAGGTTTCCCACTGATAAATCCTAACGTGATAAATCAGGGAGTTGTCCTGGTGCAGAGCTGACAGCAGCAAGAACCATCTGAGCTCTGTGTGACTGGGTGCAGTGGAAGTGCTATTCCCTTGCTCCAGGGAGTAGCAGGCATGGGATGCAGAGGGTCAATGCATTCCTATGGTGACTTAGGGAAAACTGGACCCAGCTCAAGTCCCAAGGACGTGCCAAGGTAGCAAAAAGCAGGTCAGTCGGTGACCCATCTTGCTGCCATCATAGATACGATGTCCTGGGACAGGGCTGTTCCACCGCTCAGTCATCTCAACTTCTGCTGATGCTGGTCGCAAGAGCTTGGATACAGATTGCATTAGACTGGTTAGAAATCACTTTTCCTGGTGGGAAATGCACTCACAGCGATCACTGTGTTCCTCTGTTACTTTTTTAGTGACATATTTTTATATTTTTTTTCCCCCCTGGCTCCAGAGTTTTGAAATTTCCGGAGAAATTGGATTTGTTCAGTTAAATGTGGGCTCGTGCCGAGGCTGGAGTGGAGGGCACCGGCCCGCAATGAGATTTAGAGGGAGCAGGGCAGGAAAACCTAATGCAGTTACTGCTTCAGCAGAGCAGCCCGGGGGGATGTGACAGTGAGAAGAAACGCGCCTGGCTCCCGGGGGAGCATCACTGTGTGCAGTGAGTCTGAGCCCTGCTTCGAGCCTGACCCTGCTGTGATGGGATGGGGTCAGCATTGCCCGGTCCCTCTGACACAGGGGAGCTCCATGGGGACGGGCAGGATGAGCTGTCACCTCAGCTCCTTGTCATCCCACTGCCCATCGCCCATGGAGCACACCCTGCTTCTGACCTGTCCATCGGTCCAGCCTAAGCACCACCGTATTTCTTGGATATCTTTATCAGGGGCTTCTTAAGGACAAGTTAGGACCTTGTATATTAATTTTATTAAATAATTAATAGCAAAAATAATTGGATTGTTCCATTTTCAGGTAAAAAATAGGGTGATAAATATTCATTGCTTATTTTATGAAAGGAGTTTCTGTTTCCTATGCCATTAAGGTGAGATTAACTAACAGTGGGTTTAAATGGAGGCTGAAAACAACTGTGCTTTGGAGTTGATTCCCTGCATTAGGTGGCAGGCAGCTCCCAACGGGCTCTGTGCAGGAGCCACCCTGCTGCCTGGGTACCTGCTGCTCCCAGTGTGCCTTGGCACTTGTGGGATGAGCCAGAGGCTCTGTGTTGAGGAGGAGATGTTGTGAGCCGAAGGTGGTGGAAAGGCGACTGCCTGGAGCAAATAGAAATACTCTGGAGACTTTGTTTAGATGTGAGGGTCCTGCTGCCTTACATAGCTCCTACTGTCCATGGGGCCCAGGACCATAACCCTCCCCATGCACAGTACTGGAACTGGGGGTTTGCTGTCATTGCTGCTGCTGGAATCCCTCTTCACACGGCTGGGGTGGCTGTGACCTGTTTTTCCTTCGTCAAAGGCAATGTGTGTGCTGTCAGCTCCTCCTGGCTTAGAATGCTGCTTGACATAATCCCTGCTAAATGTGGCACATCTCTCTTTACACTTTAAAGATTTCATGACTCTCAACACTTTCTTCTCGCTGCTCTCAGTATTTCCTACTCTATTTTTTGTCTTGTTTTCCCCTGAAGAGGATAAACAGTACAGAGATGGTTTTAAGAGGCATTGATTCATATAGATTTTCATCCGCTGTGGTCCAGGGGTGTTGAAATGCCAATAATAAATTCCTTCAACAGCTCACCCCGTTTGTTTTAATGTGACCTAACGGGAGCCATCAGGATGCCTGTCCCAGAGCAATCAACAGGCTTCAAGTATTTCATGTGAACCCTTCCCATGGCTGGTCCAGGCTGGGCAGCAGGTACAGGCTGGTGCTCCTGGAGAGCTGGTTTCCCTCTATATGGCTCAGGAGAGCTGCATCAGTGTGCAAGACAGCACTGGGCAACCAAGGTGAGATGTCCCTACTTCCATTATAGATGGAATTCACTTGGTGTGGATGCTGAAGGTTGGCTCCTCCATCCCACTGACCTCTCTGGAGCCCAT